ATGAAGGATGGGGGCACAGGAATGGGGCCAGAGCTAAGAGGATGCCCAGAGAGTAAACACAGCTTGGTGAGGTCAACCTCTGTCCTTGAGTCTGGGTCCTGTTCCTTCATCCTTCTACTGGGACTCCTTTCCTTAGACCACCCAAGACATTCTCCTGCCATAGACCAGTCTCCAGTGGACAATCCTGCAATATGCTTGAGGGACTGTTCAGTCTGGGAAGGAATCAGGACCTATGGGGCCAGGGGCCGTGCAAGCCTACCGCAGGGTGGTATTTGCCTAGTGGAAGAACTTCCTGGCTGTGTTTGACGTATATACGTGTTTGAATTGTGATGAGCTCAAATATCTGCCTGGGTCAGCCACTGTTTCTGAGGGAGCCAGTTGTTGAAAAGGCTTCAGCTATTTTTCTTATTGTTTCTAAAAACTCATTTGGAAGTTCTTTAGTGGGTGATTTAATGTGAATTGGTAAATCTGAGGCGTTCTCGAATGTGGAGCCAAGTGGTTTATATTTGAGATTTTAGCTGTGAACTTGGTTTTGAGAGCTGAGTGACCTTGAGCAAGTCCACTAGAAGGGCAAATATTTGCACAATTCTAGGAGGCACATTCACGTTGTATTTTTCTCTATGTGAATGGATCCCCCTTCAGCCAGCAATCAGTACTGCATAACCCTCCAGGGCTTCAGTGCCTGTCTACAAAATCAGGCGGTTGGACAAAATGATAACATAAGTTTCTAGTTAGAACTGCTCCATACTGAGAGAAATTTCCATAGTCCAGGGATGGGACTAAGAGATTCCGAACAACAGCAAAAGAGCCACAAAGCTCCTCTGGAATGCACATGGCTCTCGATAACTAGTATGTCCAGGGATTTGCCCCACTAAGATGTTTTCCGGGGAGAACATATTCTCTACCTACCAATAAAAGTGAATGAGAAAATGGAGTTCACTTAATAGAAATTCACTTCTCAACCAGCTTTGCTGCAGTGGGATTCCCATCCTGGACTGTAGCACAGGTCTAGCACCTGGATGGAAATCATTTGACCTTTATTGAATGTCTGCTATGCACCATACATGATGCTAGGTGCGATTTATATTTTAAAATTTTTATTTATTTTAGAGGGATACAGGAAGGGGGAAAGAGAGGGAGAAACATCGATTTGCTGTTCTGCTTATTTATGCATTCATTGATTGCTTCTTATATGTGCCCTGACTGGAGATCGAAGCCTCAACCTTGGTTTATTGGAACAACACTTCAACCAACTGAGCTACCTGGACAGGGCTTATTTATTTTTATTTTATTTTTTGCTAGGTGATTTTTTTTTAAAAAGCACTTTATTTATTTATTTATTGTTTTCATTTATTTTTCTTTGACAGTGATTCTTTTTTAAAAGATTCTTTTTTAAAGTTGTGGTAAAATATACATGACATAAAACCCACCAGCTGCGGCTGCCCTGGGAAGGGTGAGACGCGGGCCAAGGCAGCTGTCTGCAGCTGAGGCAGATGCACTTCCCCAGCCAGCAGATGGGGCTCTCCAAGGGCAATTGGGGTGGTGCATTTTTGTGCCCATTGCCTTATCGTAGCAACTCTTTGTTAGGTAATAGTATCCTTAGAGTTGAAGAAACTGATGCTTAGAGAGAATAAATGACTTGTCGGAATATAACGAAACCTGTTAATTATAAAGCCAGGATTAAAACCAAAGTGTCTGCTAGAGGAAAGACTCGGTTCCTAATTTTAATGAACACTTTTATTGAGCTGTTGCTGGGGGTGAGAGATGAGCAGAAGAGGGATCCAGAGATGCATGGCAATGCCCAATATTCAGAGCATTCACACTATTTTGGGGACACACACATAAAAAAGTGCTACAACAAAAATCTGAACCAGCCTTGGCCAGGTGGCTCAGTTGGTTAGAGTATTGTTCCCATACGCTAAGGGTGAATGTTCAATCCCTGGTCAGGACACACACAATACAAGAATCAACCAATGAATGTGAATAAACCAATGAATGCATAAATAAGTGGAACAACAAATCGATCTCTCTCTCTCAACAATAATTTTTTTTTAATTAAAGAGGAGGACCTGTAAGTTTCTCTGGGGAGTTGGGGAGCCTCACAGAAGTGGCCTTCAAGTTGTGACTTGAAGAATGGTTAGGAGTTTGTTGCCAGGGTGAAGAGGGAGGGGTTGGTTAAATCTTGGACAAAGGCTTTGTAAAGGAACATCAGGCCTTCAACTATAGTCGGTGCCCCTTGAGAGAGGCAAAGCGTCACTGGTGTGGAAACGCTGGTGAGGCTCCAGTGGCTAGAGCTGCCTCACACCACTCTGGAAGAAGCATCACAGAGCTCCCCTGGAAACTGCTGCAGAAATTCCAGTTTCTGGAAATCCAATGGAGGAAACAGATGTGCTCCTTTCCTCATTTGGGACTTTGGGTCATTAACACAGTTTTCCCAGGGAACCTAAGCCACACGTTCATGATGGTTTTTATGTTCTTCCATGGAACTCAAAAGAGCCCTTTAAAAAAAAAAGTTAAGCCAGTTGCCCAGAGTGTATAGTCTTCTGAAGGAACTCTCCACCACAAAGCTATCTGAAATGGGATGTTCATTTTTCTCTTGACATTTTTTTACTGTGTGTGAATAACTAAGGCAATTTGATTCATTATTTAAAAGCAAAACAATACCCAGCCAAACCAGCTATTTGGCATTGTGTGGACAAAAGTATCTGGTTCCTTTTCATTAAATTTCTCCCTTTTAGCTAGACATTTTAACATCACGTGATAGTCAGTGCTTAGCCTCCCTTGTTTTTCATAAGCTGGAGTTTTCAGTATATCAACTTTCTTATTTATGTAATGGAGATTATCTCTAAAGTTCCTTCCAAGGCTTAGACTATTAATCTCTGGGATCATGTCCCGTTTTCTATACGTTTACATGTTGCACACACAGTATGAGGAACCAATGGGGAAATCTAACATAGTTACAGGATTCCCCCTCCAACAGGTAGGCCAGTTGACTCCGGAGTGGATTTTCCTACTCTATATGGTAATAGAAAGCTTTGTCTTTTACTTCAGGTTCAGCAGTTATACTCTGGAAGTGTGGTCCACTCTGCCCTTCCTGAATGGGTTGATTCCTTAATAAGAGCTCATACTGCAGAAAAGCATCGTGAGTTGGCTAAATTCTACCCTAAGCCTGAGCACAGCGTTGCAGTTCCTTTTGTAAGGGCAAGGGGAGAAGGGGCCACAACCCAGAGAGGCCTTGTTCCCTCAGCAAGGCTGACAGGCTGTTCAGAAACACACAGGTCTGACTTCCCTCCTCAGACCTCAGGCAGGACTCAGCTTCAGGGCTGCAGGCTGGCTGAGCTCCTATGTACCAGAAGAGCAGACAAGGAGATGCAATAGGTGAAAAAGTGGAATGCTCTCCAAGCATATGGTGTATAGTTTTTTAAATGTTTTAAATTGTTGATTTGTACCTCTTATCATCACTACTTGTAGCCAATGGAAGGTCTGTGGTTTTGACATCTGACAGTATTTTACCTATTTGCTCCTCTTTGACTTCACATAAGGGCATCTTAATTTTAAAAGGGCATCTGAAATCAGTCCTACACTTCCAGACTAGCTGCCTGGCACTCAGTCAGGTTCAACAAAAATGTTCGTTGAATGAATAAATGAACGAATGAAGTGATTCTCTCAAAGTTGAGAGAAATCAGCAAAGTGATTTAAAAAGAAACAAACTTGGGATTACCACTTCAAGTACACTCTGTGCATTTGAAAGGAAAATCAGCAAAGTTGATTTTAGAGTTTTTCTGAAGACACTTTCAACCAAAAGCTATCCGAAGTGAAATGTTCATTTCTACTGATGCTAATACCGTGTTTGAATAACGTTGGCAATTCAACTCAGTGACTGAAAAGCAAGGGGACCCAGATCCTCCGCAAGCCCCTCGGGCCATGGATCCGATGGAGTCGGCTTTGAGCTGGATAGGTTAAAGGTACTAAGACCCGGGAGATAGGCCTGCCGCTTGCAGGGCACCTAGGTCCTCGTCCTTGCGGCTGGGCCAGGCACCGACTTCGGGGCTGTTGGGACACAGAGGCCGGCTGGTCCTCAGGGTGGGTGCGAGAGTCCCGCTCAGGTGTCGGGCCTGTGCGCAGGGTGCGCCGGATGTGCTCGGGGCCTGGAAGAGCCGAGGGACGTTATTGTTACACTGTAACGAGTCTGATTAACATGCTCCTGACACTTTCTCTTAGTTTTGGGCTCCTAGCAACAGCGCACAAAGGCACGGGATTGTGCCGGGCTTCGCTGGGACACGGGGCAGCCTTTGATCTGCTACCATTACAGCGGGCTCCGAGCAGCCCTCGGCGGGCGAGCGGGGCCTCAGTCATGGCCACCGGGTCCCCGGTCTGCCCCGTCCACCGCCCCGACGGCGGCTGCGCCCGCAGCGACCACCGCGGACGACGCCCGCCGAGCCTGCCGCTTCCCGCATCCGAGCGCCCGAGACTTCGGGCCCTTGGGAGCGCGGCCGGCCGGGGACGCAGACTCGGCGGGTCCCGGCCCGGAGGGCTCCCATCCTTCGGCTCGCCGGGCCCTTTCTGTTGGAAGAAGCAAACCGTAGAACTTTCCACGGGGGCGGGAGCGGGGAGAGAGAGAACTAAAATATGAAAAGTAAGAGCGCGAGCGACGAACAAATCCAAAAAGATTTTGTAATATTAAAAAAAGAGGAAAAAAATCTGCAGGCTCAGCTCCCTGAGCTGGAAGTGCGTTCGATTGGCAGCCAACAACGACCGCAAAAGGAGCTAATGATTTCGGTTGCTTCCTATACGGCCCCTTTCTTCATGTCCTGGGCAATTCTTACAGATTCGGAAGGAAACATGAAGCCAAATAATTGCTGGTACGTAAACAAACTTTCAACAACAACAAAAATCACCCGTCACACAGCGGCAAAAAAAGCTGCCCGGTCCCTTCGCGCAAGATTTCAGGTACTAAGTTAGGTATTGGAAAGTAATTTAATTTCCATTTTGTTCGTTCCCTTAGATCCCCTGGACCACCCCGATTTAAAATAAAGAGCAGAAAGAATGACTGAGGTTTTAACATTTAAATGTTGAGAGATCAGCTCATTACTTTCCCCCTAAGTTGCATGCGAAAACCTCTGGGAGGGGGGCGGGGGAGAGGGCCTCCGGACTGCCTGAGAAGACCGGGTTCCCGAGTCTTCGAGCCGAGCTCTGCGCGTACAGACCGGCTCGGGGACGCTCGCCGGCGCGAGTATGCACGAGGCGCTGCTGATTATCTTATAACTTGTTTCGAACCACCGATTGTCCTGCAAGTACTAGAGGTAAAAGTAAAAACACAAGACGTTTAGCTTTCCAAGACAAATGAAAACCAAAAAAGCAGAATGTTCAAAAAAAAAAAAAAAAAAAAAAAAAAAAGCTTGTGTTCTTCACCCCCCACCCCCTTTAAGATACCGTTAGAAATTTAACATCCTCAGAGGCAGTTTTCAGAACTTCGGCAAAAGTGTTAACGAAAATTGCACGTATTTTAGTAAAGGGGGGGGGAACCCTACATGTCTTTTTCCATTTGCCCAGCAAAATATGCCAGGCAACGAGTTATTTTCACACTCAAATCGGAGGCCTGAAGTCTTTGCGTTCCTGAGGACACCTTTTCCCAGCCTGTCCTGGAGGAGAAGACGGAAGCGAGCCAGAGGTTGAACACTTGGAAGTCTGAAAGGACTGGCTCCAGATGCCCGGGAACTTCCTAACTTGTGCTCTGGGACAGTGCCTGACTCCATCAGAGTTTCCCTCGACATTTCGATAAAACGTGATTGGGTTGATATAATTCTCTATACATTAAAATGAGGTTCTCACAGATTGTCATTAAGACCTCAGTAAAACAATGAAGACATTATTTGGTAACCCCCCCCTCAGGCAAGGTATTAGGGGAATAAAACAATCTACACCACACGGGTCCTATTGAGATTAATGAAAAAATTATGCAAAAAAGTCTCCATTTCATTTTCCCATGACAGGATTTTGCATACATACAGTGAGTCTTGCTTTGCACCTGATGATTTATTAAACTAATCTACAGTGATCACCACTGATGTTCTCAACTCAATCTTGTCCAGGCTCATTTTCTAAGTAATTGTTTCTCATTAGTTCTGATAATGTTTTAATAGTGTTGCCCATAATTTAGGTCTCGAGAATTAATAACAGGGGGATGATATGGGCAAAGCAGCTTGTGATGCGCTATGCAAAATATACACAGGTATGGTTTTTAATTAATCAGATTATTGCAAAATCCTTTTTGTGATCATTCTTAGCTCAGAGAATTCCCCAGGTTGGGCACTGCCATCATGTTAAGTGGGATCAGTTCACCCAGCCCTCCCTCACTCTCTCCCATCCTCCCTGTGATACGTGAAGCCCCCCCCACCCCCGCACACCCCAGCCCTAACCCTTCCTCCTGCAATGGCTCCAAAGAGATGCACTTAGGAAAACGGTAGTGATACCTTGTTTCCCAGCATCTCCTTGTCCTGGATTTTTGTTCTTCAAGGAATGAGGCACAATGAGTCTCTGACCGCAACTAAACTCTTCCAGAACCCTCATTAGAGTCTCTGCTCAGAATGGGTACTTGGTCCAGATTTTTGGCTCTCGTGGGTACCTATCTTATAATCCTACCATAATCAAGACCAGGGGGTTGTGAGGAAAATGGTAAATCTGACATGTGGGACACATAAACAGCAAGGTGGTTTTGTTTGAAGAAAGTGCAGTTTGAGATAAAGGGTGTGGTGGCTGGTTCCAGCTGGCTGGGGGACCTAGGAACCCATGGGTCTGTTGGTAATGTGGGTAGAGACCTTGCTGAGGGACCTGCTATACCCGAGGTCCCAATGCCTTCACCCCCACATCTGAGGTTCCCTCAAAGGAAGGGCTTGGCTCCCAGGGAGCTCATGGCTTGAGGAGATTCCCCTGTAGGGTTTGGGGGTTGCCTGTGTAACTGGGGTGGAAGTTAGGTCATCTTGCCTTTTCATCCTGTCAGAGCTTGGAGGGGTTATTTGGACCAACATCGAGGATGGAAAGGTCAGTTGGGTTGAAGTGGGGGGTTGACTGTCAGGGAAATACGAAGAAAGGTTTTTATTTTCCTCTTTTGTTTAAGATGGGTCATGCCTACACTTTCAGCACCCTGAGAGGAGTGTGTATGTGTATATATGACAGATCAGAATGAGAGGAAGCCTTTGCCTTCTGAGCAGTCCTCTGTCTCTGTGTTCTGAGCAGAGGCATCCAACTGTGTGGACACCTATGGTCCTGGATTAACGCTTGCACACACCTGGCTACCAGCTTAGATGGGCACAGTTGCAACAATGGGGTAGAGTGGGGGCTGCTTCTCCTGTAATTGCTGCCCACTGTCCGTCTGCAGTCCTGAAGCCCAGTTTGGCTGGAGGCCAGTCATCTCGAAAGTTGGCTGAGATGCTAGCTTTCTTCTCACAGTCCCTTCACATGAGGATGTGTGTAGTTCCCACCTCTCCTTCCAGCTAACTCTGAAGCATCAGAGAGCAACCAAGGTGGAGGGTGACAGTGCTCTCATGAGTGGTTGAAGGGAGTGCACCAAGGAGGGGAGATGCACTGCTCAAGACCAGGGCCACCTGGCCATCCCTTTTATGTTTAAGAACTGTCTTCAAGGACTGCATGTTTGGGGGAATATTAGTTGGTTACACAAGAACATGTTTCCCCAGAACCTTCCTGCCTGGATCAGTTTCCTCTGGTATTCCCGTCAAAACTAGATTGCCTTCTTCCTGCCATGCTTTTGTTGGGTGGGTGTTGCATGATGGCGTGTGGGCCTTTCTACTTTGCTTTGGTTCCATGATGCTTTTCCTTGTATATAACCTTCAGTTCTACTCCCCTCTGGGGCTTCCTGAAGGAATGGAAGAGGTAGGGGAAAAGTAGGCCCCTGGTTGGGATACATAGTAGGGGCCACATAGGAAAAAATCAAAAAGGTCAGAGGAGGAAGAGAAAAATACAAATTAAAGAAAAACTGTTTTCTATTTACAAATTTAAATAAACAGAACAGCCTTCCCTGCGGTGTTTGTCTAAGAGTAGCAGCCTTGCTGCTGTGTAGGTCATGAAAAGGTTGATGTAGAGTTTAAAACTTCCCATTCTGTTAATTTCTTAAAGAACGGTCATCCAGAGTCTCAACACAAAAGCTCATGATTTAATGAGGAGCAGAAACAAAATCTCTGATTGTTGGTGTTTCAAATTTCATTGGCGTCCTCTGGCAAACACAAGTTGATCCTTAGCAGCTTCAATACCCTTTTGCCTTCAATATAAGAGCACATGCTGAATAGGGAAGAATGGCTGGTTGTTATGTTTATTTACCCTTCCTACAAGCTGGGTTAACCTCTTCAAAACAGCTTTACTAAGCCCGTTAACCACACCACCCATATGACCTGTAGCAGCATCTCTAATGTGATGCAAATCTCTCTGGGGACCATATGTACCAGCTCTGCTGCATTGTGTCTTCTTAGAGGCTACAAGTTTATAGCTGAGGGGGCCCTGTCCCAGCCATACATTTACAGGGGAAATGGGCTCAATGGCAAACAGTTAAATGGGGAAATAAAGGGGGAGGATGGATGGTCCTTTGTTTCTGCACATTTATTTTTTAATTGCTGGTAACTGTTGACCCACAGCATTCGCCCTGGATGCAGATTTCCACAGTCATCACCTAACAGTTAAAGGATTATGGATGTTTTATTTTAGGGGGTGGAGGTTAACAGTAATCAGTTTTGATGATGTATTTTTGGAGATATCTCTACAAACCAATATGATCGTTAATCAACTTTTCTATGTAATCTCTGTTGTTTTTTAAAAATCAGACTTTTATGGAAATAAGCACAATCCCTTCATTTAGTTATTTTTTAAAAGCCTGGCTTTTTAAAAAAATTGCTTATGGAGTCAAGTGAACAAATGAATAACGTGGGAAACATCTAATGTGAAGAAGGAGAAAGGGAGTACACATACTGGGGAAAGACCTAACTTCCCTTCACAGTCCATCTTTCCTTATTATTTTTTCTCCCAGTGAAATAATAAGTCCATATCTATAATACATTAATGAACAATAAAATCGTGATCTTGGAACCAAAAAGAATGCTTGTTTTTTTAGAGGAATAAGTGGCCAGTGAGGCAACAACAACAACAACAACAACAACAAATGTGATTAACATGAACTGTAAATGAAGAAAGGTTCCAATCTGGCATACTAACAAGTTGCCTTGGGTATTATGGTCTGTCTTTAAGAAACCCACTGTATATGTTCAGCCCACCTGATGAGAGCTTGATTTAACAGATCATTTTTCCTTGATGGATGTGGCAAGCGTAACAATGTTCTGGGCTTGCTTCAGTAATGGCATGTCGATCATAATCCCTTGGAAAGTAAAGGCTCCCTGGAAAACAGAGAATACAAACTTCCTAAAAGAATGCTTGGAAATTATAGGCTTCCTTTAGACACACACTTGTACAACAAGAACATTTTAGATTCCGCCTGAGTTATACTGACTTTCCAACCACACTTTTGAGAAAGCAAGAGTAAATTACAGGGGAAAGATCTTTTTCCTTCTAAAGAGGAAAAAAAGTCTTTTAGCATTTTAATGGAGTGGAAAAACATCAGACACAAAGTATTGGAAACTGTTTATTTAACTCTTAAAATCAAGTCGAAAACAACCATGGAAGGAAAATACAAATACTTCCTTACAGGTTTTCAAATATTACATAGAACTTAAAAAAAATCCAATATGCTCTGGCAAATGATTATTGTTTGAAAAAAATGTATGAACAGCTTAACAGCAAAATGCTTTCCTCCTGCTCTAACATAATTGAGAGGTAACACTACCATGTGATAAGAAACTGTAAGGTAGGATTGTACTAAGTTAAAAGGTATTCCTCTGTCAGTACACACTTGCAGAAGAGGATTAGAATGACAAGGGACATGAGCCTGTAAGAAAAAAATCATAGGTCCATTGAATGGTGAGACTGGAAAAAATCTTTGATCTCTCCTGCTTTATCCTAATTTTACAGATGCTTTTTTTTTTAAACCTCTGGAAATACTTATTGAGTGCATTATGTGATCTAGTTCCTGTTCTAGATGAGGAAACAGACCCAGAGTAAAGTGATTTTCCATCACTTTACTCATATGACAAAGAAAAGTTAATACTTGGGCCTCAGTATTTCAAACCTTCATCACAGACCCCCACATTAAGATAATTAAGATAACAGGGTAATTCCTTTAGTGTATCAGAAGAGAAAAACTGTGCTTGCTTCGGAAGCAGATATATAAAATTGGAACAATACAGAGATTAGGATGGCCCCTGTTCAAGGATGACACGCAAATTTGTGAAGCACTCCATATTTTTAGTGGTGGTGGGTAAATGGAGACAAATGTATGTGAAAAATGGAGGAAAAAAAGGAAATAAATAAAAATTAAAAAAAAGAAAAATGTAATGGAAACAAGGCAGCATGCCCAGAATAGAAGTTTATGTCTAGATATTTATGTTCTTTTAATCGCTTATTTTTGCTGTTTGCAATCACAGCTCTTCATCTTAATTCCCCTTCCTTCTACGTGTTGGCAAGCATGCTGGTGTAGGTAGAAAGCAGGGCTTTTTAGACCTGGAGGTAGATTGGAACAGTCATATCCTAGCTGATGGTCTATTTGCATGTATTGCCATCTACTTCTGTGTTTCACAAGTACTACCTGTCAACAATCAATGCTGTTGTTTTTCAGGACTTCCTGGATGGGTCTCCTGGGCTCTCTGGAAACCCTCATCTCCTACAATAACACAGTGTTCTATATAGAATGGAGATTAAAAAAAAATTGGCAGGGAATCCTTAGTAATGACTTCAGAATTTGTCTTTCAATCAACAGAGAGATTTAAAAGCCACTAGGATTAGAATTTTCACCAGTACCATCATGTGTCACAAACAACATTTCAGTCAATGTCCAAGATTGCGTATATGATGGTGATCCCATATGATTATAATGAAGTTGAAAAATTCCTTTTGCCTTGTGATGTCACAGCCATTGTAATGTCATAGTGCAACACATTAAAATTGCCTACAGTATCCAGTACAGTAACATTCTGTACAAGTTTGTAACCTAGGGGCCAGCTACAACATAGCCTAGGTGTATAGTAGGTTATACCATCCAGGCTTGTGTTAGTGCAGTATATGATATTTGCACAATGATGAAATAGCCTAATGATGTATTTCTCAGAAAGTATCCCTGTGATCAAGTGACACATGATTGTATTTCTTAATCTTCTCGCCTTGGAATGATGAATCATATGAATACTTTTATAGACTAAAATCCTGTATTATAAATCATTTTCAACCTTGTTGTTTTTACTATTTCTACTCTCAGATTGTCCTTTGACTAAATTTTATTCAGTCTAGAACTAATTTTGGTCATCTCTGTGACTATGACACATTTCTTTGAATTTGGTAGAAGTTCCAATCGTGTTTCGTGGGTTAGCATGACATGTGAAATCAGGGTGTGGGACTCACGCTGTTTTACAAGGCAATAGTCTAGTTTCCTTGTTGGAATAAATGACGAAGACCAAAGGCCTTCTGGTTATCTGCCCACCAAGCAGATTATGGCCCCGTAAAACAGCACATATGTCCTGCTAAATCTTAAATAATAGGCTGATGAGATGAAAATAGCATAGATGCACATGAAATCAAAATGATGCACAGAGAATCAAAATGATGTCTTTGGGTCTATGTCATGTACCCTGAACCTGCTTTGGGTTCCACATGAACATCAGAAATGCAATATTTCATGTAGTGTTTCATGTAGTGTTTCAAGACAGATGGATTCTTTCTTCTACAGTGGCAGATTTTGCTTAACTTCCTTTATGAAACTTAAGCTGGAAAATGAAATTCCACATTTTTGTTCTTAGTTGCCTTCATTTCTGCAAATAGAGAATTTTAGTGTTAAGAACTAGACAGCCTAGTCCTGGCTGGTGTGGCTCAGTGAACCGAGCACCAGCCAGTGAACTAAAAGCTTACTGGTTTGAATCCAGGTTAGGGCACATGCTTGGGTTTGAGGACCAGATCCTCAGTTGGGGGCATGCCAGAAGCAACTGATAGATGCTTCTCTCACACATCGATGACTCTCTCCCTCTCTTTCACCCTCCTTTACCCTCATTCTAAAAAAAAAAGAAAAAAGAAAAAAGAAATAAAATCTTTAAAAAAAATTACCAAAAAAAAAAAAAAATTAGATGGCCTAATATGAATATCCTCCTGCTTTAACATATCTACCTACAATATGGGTTGGTTTTTTAACATATGGATTTACCTGTGAAATGTGAATGATCTGTTGGTCAGGACTGAGAAAAACACACTTTGTTAAACTATTTGGATTTGCAAGGAGGGTTTGAAACATTCCTTAATAAATGCTTACAGATAGGTTTCAGTTTCACAGCCCAGTGCATTCCTGAGAAATTGGCACACATACCATTTTCAAAGTAAAGGAACTTCCGACAGTTTGAAGATTCAGACTATATAATTTGGTTTAAAATGCCTTTAAATAGTAATTCATTCATGGTTAAAAACCTTAACAATCATCACTATAACAATAATAATAGCTAGAATTTTTGAGCAGTTGATAGCCTAGAACTGTGCCTGGCACTGGACATACTTTATTTCATGTAATGCTCATCCCCATTAATAGAATTTTTTATATTTCTTTTTAATTGTGGTAAAAACACATGACCAAAAATTTACCATAACAGTCATTTTTAAGTGTACAGTTCAGGAATGTTATACATACTCACATTGTTGTGTAAATGATCTCCAGAACTGATTCATCTTGCAAAAGCAAACCTAGGTCAGTCCCTATTAAACAACTACTCCCTAGTTTCCCTTCCTTAGCCTCTGCCAACCATCATTCTGCTAGTTTCTATGAATTTTTATTCATCTCCATTTTATATTTGAAAAAACTGAGGCACAAAGAACTTAAGAAACTTGTTAAATATCTGCCCTGTAACTGGTAGGGACAGAATTGGGGTAAAACCTGGCTCTAACTGATCCAAAGCTTCTGTTCCTGGCTTATACCCTGGGCTTATCAATTGAAAAGTATTCTCTGAGTGGGTTTCCTTACTGCCTGAATCAGAATCACCCGGGTGTGGGGGAGGTACTGGTGGAGTACAAGCAGATTCTTGGGTTTGGTCCTATATGGTTTGATGCAGAAGGCCTATGGGTTGACCAGGAATTCTCTGATGATTCTAATGCACATTCAAATTTGAGAAGCTCTGTTTTAGCTCTCCTGAATGGAAATCATTAGGCCAGCTTTGATATGGGTCTAATTCCATCCCAGCCCTCAAGGAGCTTACATTTTGCTGCAGGAGCAGGGAGGAAAGAAGTAGACCCTATATAATGCAAGGAGAATTAGAAGAAAAGCCAGTGTGATGAGCATGGAGTGATCAGATGGTCTGAAATGGCTTTCCAATCAGGATCATCTTTGTCAGAGTGCACAGTTCACTTAGATATGATATTGTGTACCTACAGCACGCCATGCATCCCCTCCTACAGTTGCCATGGAGTTCCTTGTGCAATAGGCTTTTATTCAACAATTACTTATTATTTGTTATAAAAAAATGGTTGGTCAATCACTTTAGCACATCTTACTATACACGTGTAAGTCTCCTGGGTGTTATCTGCATAAGAAGAAAAACAATTATTATTGGGCAATACGTAGTGTAGTTTTTCTAACACTTCGGTCATTGCCTAGCAGCAAGTTAGGCACTGAAATAACATGAACTTTATCAGACCCTGAGGTTCTTCATGAGGGGAGAATCTGACTTATAATTTGATGGCAAAAGTATTGATGATGACGGTGGTGATGACAATAGTGATCATATCTTTGGGAAATGTTTATATGTTTTACATTTCTGGTAGTTAGTGGTTGAGATTTTTTTCTCTAGAGTACTCAAGGAATAATTTTCTAGAAGCCATAAGTTGATCTGATGCTTTCCCTACTCACTTTATTTTCAAATAACTTCTTTGGGCATTCAGGAAGTCCTCTCTGGCACCTTTCAGTGATGGTGTCGGGGCAATTTCTTATGAGGGGCTTTTCTCTGTTGGCGTTAATGACAGTGTTTGAGCACAGCTGTTAATAGTCCTTTTTTTTTATTTTGTGATGCTATCTTACACACAATGGTTTAATTATTTACCTCACAAGAGTTTCCAGTGAATTCCTAAAACTTTCAGTCAATGTTGACCATTTCTCTTCAGGATCTTAGCTGTGTCTCTACTTGCTATATTGTCTCAGGCCCAGCCATGACCTCCTGTGATATAGCTCTTCTTTACACACAAAGTTAACTGCTCCTTGATACTCCTCAAAATGGGTGAAGATGATGCTCTAGTAGACATTGTTGCATTCTCGTTCCTCTTTCTTTTGAATTTTTCAACTTATGGCCTTGGTCCCCTCACAGTTTGGTTATGATGTTCCTTTTAAGGAGTAAATTTGGTTGTCTGTCCCCCAAAGCTCAGTAGGGAGGCTGCCTGCCTCCTAGGCTGGCTGGCAGAGGTCTTACTGAGAGTGTTGGGACACTTAACAGAGGAGTTGCACCTTCCTAAGTGGGATCATACTGCATTTTTTCTAAAACATTGAATAGGATCATCCATTTGCTTAAACACTGCTTTGGCTCCCTTTGGACGTGCAGAATTAAATACAATCTCCTTGGCAGAGACCCTTATGCTCCACTGATGAGACCAATCCCTGACTCTGTTCTCAGCCTTGTCTCTTGCCAGTTTACCAAGACAGACAGACAGACAGACAGACAGACACACACACACACACACACACACACACACACACACACACACACCGGTACCTCTCCCACACACTCTGTTCTGTGCTCTGAAGGTTCTTTCAGTGTCTATCTGGCAAACTTCTTGGGCTTCAAGGCACAGGAACATCATGGTCCCTGAAGGGCTAATTCAATTCCTTCCTTCCCTTAGACAGCTTCCCTTTATAGCCCTTGTCACACTCTTTTCTAATTGTTTACATTGCTATTTTTCTCACTATGCTGTGAGGCTCTTCAGGGTAGTGGCCCCATCTCATATTTCTTTGAATTCACAGACCCCAGAACCCATAACGTGGTTCAGAATGGAGCTTGGTTCTTTTGTGGGGCCAGAGCTGGGTGACTGAGGGTGCCATGATATGGGAAGATAGAATCTGTCTTCTGTTTCTTCTTTCCTTTATCTGCTGACATTTTCCTGCACTGCTTGATCTTTCCCTGGTCTGGTAATACTCACTGGTCAGTTGGCCAACACTTGCTGAGTTTCCAGTAGGGCACAGTATCTAACCTCAATAAATATGATGCAGGGTTGGGGTCAGGTTAACTCATGTAAA